TTTTTTTTTTTTTTTTTTTTTATGAAATAAAATACAATAATTTTTTCGAATTTGACTTTGAAAATTTGAATATCTTAATTGCAATATTCATCTTTTATTAATTTTAAAATTTCATCTATAATAGAAATTCTATATTAATTTATTATTTTGGATTAACAATATTACATTTAAAATATATGTAATAGCTGTTTTATAATTTATATTCGATGTATATTTATATTTCTAACGGTTGAAATTTTTTTAAAAAAATAATAATAAGTACTTTAATTAAATAATATGCGGTCAACATATTCATTATATTCGTTTTACAACTATTCCTGTATTTCACATATTTCACATTGATTATCCGTTCTTTAACTTTTTATAGCATCAGGTGAAAGAACAAAGTAAAAATAAAAATGCTAAATTTTTGAGAATGATTTAATATTACCCTCAAAATGTTTTAACCACTTTTCGTCTTTGCAAAGAATAATTACAAAGAATAATTTTTTATTTCACATTTTTAATTACTGCACCCATTTTTAACATTAATCTAACGCAAAAGTATCATATCTAATATAGTATCGGTACATTTTATCAAGTCATATTAAATATTTAAACTTCTAGTGGATGTATTTTACTTAGTTATTTATTTGTAATAAGGTATTAATGAAAAGTGATTTTTATAGTAAACCTAGTTCCGTATTTATTAGCTACAATACTTATTTATTTATTTATAAATAAAAAAATAACTTTAAATTTGCTACAATATTAACCTTTAATTTTTTCAGACATGAATAATTGACAAATATGAACCTTACTACATTTTTATCAAATGTCCTAGAGTAACATTATCCTTGATCTCTCATCAAGTTCACAATAAAAATAAAAAAATAAAAAATAAATTGGATAAATTATAGGTATTTTATTTTTAAATATTATCGTTAATAAGTTTAATTTCTTTCATCTATAATAAAAAAAATAGTTTAATTAAAATTTAATAGATCAAAAAAATCACATGCAAAAGTAATTACCTTTAGAATTAATATCAATTTTAGTAAAATCCATTTTTAGAGAATCTGTAAAATAAAAGAATAATTATTATTCTGAATGAATTTAAATAATTATTTTGAAATAAAATTACCTGAATATTCTAAATCATTGTTGTCTGCATTTTTTGGTTCTGGAAGATTTTTAAAATCTAAAAGTCTACTTGTGTAAACTGCTTGAGGATGTGTTATATATGAGAGTGTACTAGTAAATGATAATGGTGATTGAACTGTTGAAAATGACTTTCTATTAAATTTATCTGCTTCTTTAACTTGCCTATAGATTATAGAATTCACTCTATTGTAAGTAACATCAGAAGCTAAACCAAAAATTAACTTATGTAATTTATCTGCATTAGGTCGTTTTAAAGGATCTGCATCCCAACATTGATTAATAATGTCAAAAATTAATTGTGGAACTTTATAATTAGATTTTGGCCTCAACCCCTGACAAATTTTCATTGCTAAGAATTCATCATGAGCTATATCATAATAAGGAGGAAACCCTATACAAATTTCATATGCAATGATTCCAAATCCATAAATATCACTTTTTTGAGTATATTCCTTTCCTCTTAAAACTTCTGGAGCCACATAAGGTAGTACTCCATATATTTTCTTATTATTACTCCGAGAATGTTCTATATTAGCTGGTTGACATAATCCCAAATCAGTAATATAAGCACTATCATAAAAATCACTTAATATATTCCCACAATGAAAATCATGATGAATTAATCCTTTATTATGAATATCTATAAGACCAAGTGCAATGCGACATAAATTACTCAACTTTTGCATCCAACTATATGAAATGAAGTTGTCATTTAAATGTTGTCTCATACTACCTCTTATTAATCGCATCACCATCATAAAATTATTTGTTTTTGGATCTTTGGTAATACCAAAACAACGAACTACAAATTCACGTGCAGATTCATATACTAAAATATTTGATTCAATCTTAAAAAAAAATTATAGTTAGTTTAACATTTATAAAAGCTAATGAAGATTTATAAGAAAATATCAATATCTCACTTCTTTTAAAAAATCTGCTGTGATATCTTGTGAGTTATGTAAGCACTTTAAAGCAACTTTTGTTTTACCATTTCTTTCCAATTGTTTATTGTCATGATTAATTTTCCAAGGACCATCTTTCCAAACTGCTTTAAAAGTAGTTCCAAATCCCCCTTTTGCTAAATATACAACATCTTCAAATTTATCATATTCAATCCACTCTATGATTTGAGTAAAATTTTTAGCATTTAATTGTGCTTTTTGAATAAATTTATCAATGTCATGATTTCCACTTGTCCAATTTTTGAAATTTTGTTTAAATTGTGAATTACATAACCGACAATAAACATTTCCAGTTCTAGGCTGATTACAAATTCTACATAAACCATATTTTTTATAATGTTCTTTTAATTCTTCGTCTGTTATTAGTTTATCAATTAACGATTTTTGTTATTCAATAAATATAAAATAATAAAAATCTTTTATTTGTTCAAATACATCATCACTTAATTTAATTTCATCCATTTTAATAAATAATTTTTAAACAAAAATATGTTATTAATTCGTATGTAAAAATTATTAAAAAATAATAAAGGAAAAGAAAAAAAATGAAAAAAAAGTGGTGAAACGTTGCAATAATTTTAAGATCAGCGACGAAATTATCAAAAAAAGACTAGTTAAAATACACAAGGGAAAAACAATTATCTTGATCGGCAATTGAATTTAAAATAATCCATATATACAGTATATGTAATAATATTTATATAATTTTATTGTGTATAGGCTCTTACTAAGAACATTATAGCGTCAAGTGAGATCAAAAAATAACCAGATGCAACTAAACAACAACTAGAGGCCTCATCGAAAAATGATAAGAAAGTAAAGGTATTACAACAATTCCTCCAAATTTTTATTTAAATTCCCTAATAAGAAAGATTAAATTTTAATAAACGATTAATTTAGGCTAAACCTTTACAAATGTTAATTACTACTTTGATATAATATCGGTAATGATGTATTCATATGAAAAATTTTGGTCATCAAAATTTAACTCAAACAAAAATTGTTAAATAACAATAAATGAAGAATTTGAATATTATTAAATGTTGTTAAGTCCAAGCCCGCCGCCGATGGGGTCAATCCTGCTTGACTTGATGTTCCGAAGTCGTCCGGTTCAGTTCGGCTTGAGGGAATCCAAGTTGCGTTCGGTCTGACTTTGAAAGTGACAAGCCGATGGGGTCAATGGGCCAATGGAGTCAATGGAACTAATGTTAGATTTCGATCTAATTTTCATAACAAAAATTGAAGAAACGTAAGTATTCCTATTTTTCCTCATAGAACTAGTATGGTAGCATATGGATCGAAAAAATATAAGCATCCACATTCGAGTTGTTCTGCAACCACTCATGTTCCTACTTATATTTTTCTCCTAGCAAGTGCTACCGTTATGGAATGCTAGATGGGAGGTTTTTCGAATAAGGTATGCTTTCAGATATTGCCTCATATATGCATGCTCCTGATTATATTATATGCGAAAATTTATGATACCCAGGATGAAATTAAATGGGTTTCGGATTTGTTTGTGCCAAAGTGAAATTTTATTTTTATTAATAGGAAGCAAATATTTTCAGAGCGAATAACAATCAAGAAGACAAATTTATTTTCTTAAAATTACAAATATACAGTAATTACATTAAGTTTATGCTATATGAAAAATTTTTTGATACCCATCTGGGACCATTTGGACGAAATGTTTCAAAAAGCCCGTTTTGTATCTATTTACTTATAAAATATTATTTACTGCGATAGAAAATTAAACGTAACGCATAATAATCTAAATTATTATGGGAAAATTTTGATGGAAATCTGATATCCCAATTTTTTAAAGGTAATAGAATAAAAGAAATAAATTGATATTTAAAAAAAGATTATGCTTTACGATGATGCTTTGCGATATATCGCATGATTATTTAAACCCAATATACAGTGAATGAAGTTCAAACGATGCATTGCTTCACTCTCGCGATAATCTAAATAAATTCCGAATAAGAATATAAAGAATATAAGAATTGACTCACTATGATAAATTTTATTTAAGGGAAAAGACCCGACTGTGAATATTAAAGATTTGATATTATTGTTGTCATGAATATTAACACCGTAAAAAAAAGTTGTCCTCGAATTATTAGTAGTTATTTGCGGTGCAGTTATTTGACCATGTTGGAGTATGTATATAATTTGCTAAAGTTGTAAAATGACCTTATGAGATGTCGTTAAGCGAATATTTCAAATTATGTTCGTTTGCTAAATTTATTATACGTTGATCACATATTTGTAATCGATTTTCGTGTACTACTACGTTGTACTACTACGTCACGTTTCATTAGACATTTTCCTTGCATATATATATACCGTTTCTTATGCATGTTGCAGTATTGATATTATTATTAAGAAAAACTGACAGATATTAAGATTGATAAAAAATCATTCAAACTTGAAAGAATTGAAGTTTTGTTCATTCATTCTTAAAAGATCAAGATTATCTGTCATTTAACGGGGCAATCTAAATTTGTTTATCGTCTTTTTTTAAGGGACGTAAAGATTTTGTAGGTACCATTTTATAAATGAAAGATTATGTTACAATATATATATATATATTTTTTTAGTATCAGGTATGTATTAAATTAAGTGATTAATAAAATCACCTAAATAAACTTTAATATAAATTTAAATTTGATTTAAAATGATTAAAAACGGGAAATTTAAAAAAGTAATTAAAATTTAATTATCTTATACTGATATATATTAATAATAATTTCTTGTTCATAGATGATAACTTTTTATGATTTACATTAGGTAAATATATTACATTCAAAACAACTGTAATAAGTGTAATAAGTGTGTAACATACGTTGATTATAAAAACCCCATTAACCCCAACGTATTAAATTCACCCCGCCCCAACAAAAAAAAAACATAATATAAATTGGTAAATTTTCGGATATAATAATTAGACAAAATATACAAATTTAGCAAATAACGTACTTATATAATTATCATTAATCTTAAAAAAAATTATAATAAAAATTCATATACAAAAAAAAAATGAATGATATTTAGGAAACAATAATTTAAATTATGATAAAATTTACGCCAAAACTTCAATTTTATTAACTAAATAAGGTTACTAACGGTATTTCTTTAATAATACTTAATTGACCTCCTAAAAATTTTATTATAAAACTGCTTAATTGGATGATTTAATGATTTAATATATTTTGATCTTGTGCGACAATACTGCGTCATACCTATAAGACTTGACCCATGGTAGGAATTCTCAGATTTTAATTTAGAATTTATTGTAATCAGAATTTTGAATCAGAATTTTTTTGAAAACTTTAAAATCATCCAAAATGTATTAATTGACTATTACTAATAATTACCATTTTTTATTGAATAAAATGTATTATATACATGAACTTTTGGAAGTTGGAATAAAGTGTATCAATCATTTTTATTTTTCTTTTGTGTCCAGGTCGCTGACCTGAACCCAGACTTGCATTAAAGCATGATTTTTATTTTTTTTTTGTTTGGGATTTTTTTTTTTATTTTATTACAATGCCGTCACTATGAACTTATGGGAAAATGCGTACTTTCTTTTATTGTTATTTGTAATATACTATAATGAATATTTACATTCCGCGTATTATCCATTTTAATATATAGTTCTTTATGACTCATTACATATTATATAAAATAGTCAATAAATTTTATATAAATACTGAATTTATTTTTTCAAGTTGTCTCACTTACTTTTCTATTTTTTTTCAATTTTTTTTTTTTAAAAAAAAAAATATATAAAATTCTGTCATTTGTTCCTAAATCAAACTTTCTTTTTCAAATAAAATTATCTCTTATGTATTCTCAACAAAACAAAAAAGCTTCGAATAATTCTATTCAATCAATTCTAAGTGATTTCTTAAATCATATAAATTATAACATTATTCATCAACTACCGCATAATAATAATCCAAATGTGCTTGCGGCTCAAACGAGAGTTGGTAAAAGGGTTCAAAGATTAACGGGATTTAAATTAATGAAAAGAAATGTAAAATTGGAAGCGGAACGATTGCAATTATATGATCAATATTTAATCAATTTAGCAACTAGTAAAATTTGGAGTTTAAGAACCAGTCGTTCTCAAAGACAACAATTCATAAATTTGGCTAATGATGCGAATAATATCAATCAAAATATGATGACGGAAAATAACGCGAATATTAATAGAATTAGTCAAATAAATAACTCACAAAAAGTTAAGAATCAATTTGAGGATAATTTTTTTAATGGAACAAAATTTGATAATAATAATAATAGAGATTTGGAATCTTTAATTTTTCCAATTGGAAGTTCAAGAAATTTAGGAACATATTTTTAAATATGAAGATCATTCTCATTCCTTTTAAACATATATATAAAACCACTCCCCTAATTTATTATTATAAATTAAAAAAAATATCCCTTATTATCTTCTAGTAAATCACCTTCCTAATATATATTTATCATTTTCACGTCAAAAAGATGTATAACAAATTTATTATTATTATTATTATTTTTTAACAAAAGAAATAATATTAACAATGATCATTGTAACCTGATTTTCTTAGTATTGAATGTAAAAAATGCGGGGCTGTGTGATCACAGATTTGTGTGTAACATTTCCTTTATGATAATCGTATGTCACACATATAGCTCCTGATCCCTTTTTCATTGTATTTTATACATTTATACAACCTTCTGTATTTAATATTTGTCACAATTAAAGGCTTATGTAACACATTATTATTGCAAATAAGAATAAAGAATATTTTTTGTGATCACTTTAAAATTTTAATGGCGCAACGACTAACAGAATTTTTCCCACATTAACCTGTTAGGGAATTCACGTTTGGACTTTTTATACATAAAAAGTAACAAAAGAAAAAATAGAATAAAATTTTTTTTTTTCGTTTATTCTTAATCAGCGCCCTTTCATTTTATACTTTTTGATTTTTTTTTTTAAGGAAAAAAATAAATCAAAAAAATTATTTGAATTTAAAAAAACTAATAGGATGGATTGGTCAGATGTCATCATGGTAACAAAAAAAAAATGAGAACCCACGTGCATGATATATGTGGCGCACAGGATAACCTAACCTAATTTTGTATTTTTTTTTAAGAATTTAATTTTATAATTATTTCTTCCTTGCTTTTAAAACTTCGATTTTGGTGATTTTCTTTATTATATAAAATTCATTCTGCCAATACTTACAATAATAAAATAATAAAATAATTGAAGTGTCGGTGACGCCTACCACGTGATGATCTTACACGTGATTTATTGATTTGTGTGGATCGCAACCAATTTATTACTTTGTATTTGACACGATTATTTTTTTTTCGGAATCACTTTTCTTAAAACAATTTTATTGCTTAAATAATTGAGTAGTTGAAACATATTTTTTGTAATTTTAAAGCAAAACAAAAAAATACAAAAAAAATACAATTTTTTCGTTTGTTAAGTTATTAAACTTCGGACCAGAGGAATTGAAGATTTGAGACGTCAGATTTCGAAGTACGTGTATATTATATATTCGTACTGTAGTAAACCTAAAATAATCTAAGCAAGATAAAAAAACATTAGTATGATTTGCACCATACTCCATAAAAAAAAGCTTCCAGAAAAGTGTTAATATCATTCTACCAGAGGTTCACCCTAGAACTAGTACAATAAGGATTATCTTTTTTTTTTGCTTTTTTTTTGTTTTTAATTTTTTTTTATTTTTTTTTTCATATTTTCTTTTTTATTTTTATTTATTTTTTGTAATTTATTTTTTTTTTTTTTTTTTTTTGCACTGGAACGGCCTCGCCTTTGAAAGCACTTGGTTGACTATTTGCCACAACATGTACACAAGTAAACACAAATCACACATGTATACACCGCTTCCCACAACATGAGGATTTGTTTGGATGAATAACTTGGAATCTCTTAGTTTTAGTTACAACTTTTTATATACTAGTTTTCAATACTTTATATCCTTTTGATGTACAGTAAATTTGATTGGGCGAAAGTAAAGATTAATGAAATATTGGTAAAATTATAATAATATACTACACAGTTTATTTCTTGTATACTGTATGTTATTTATTAAACATGTTTTTAAATATATAAATTGTTTATCTATCTATTTATGTATTTATTTTTAAGTAACAAAAAGAGGCTATTAATTACACGTGATAAAGGTACGATTGGACAGTGACTGAAGTTTTACAAAGTGTGTAAAAATATAATGTTCTCCTTCCGGACGATGAATAAAAAAAAAAATATATTTTTTTTAAATGAAATTAAAATATTAAAATTTAAGAGTATCAAATGTTATATACTGGGGGAAAAAATTAGATTTTAGGACATTTTTCTAAACAGAGATAAATTTTTTGACATAGTTTAGTGATAAAAAATTATAAATATTTCAAAAAATTTTTCATTTGAACTGTAAATAGATAAATAATAAATAATAATTTCAAAATCCAAAACATTCGTTTAGATAAGATCTGAACCGTATTTTAATGAGAAAAAATGTGTTAAAATTTAAAAATAATATTTAATTCATTAATATGATAATTACTGTATATGAGACGATTTTTAAGGATAAATAACGTAGATCCGTTTTCATAAGGTTTATTAGTTGAATCAAAAATTTGGAAAAAATTGATTTGTTGAGGTTTAGTAAATTTTTTTAAAAAAATTTTTTTTTCACGGTAGATCAATGATTAGTAAAATATTATATAATTTATTACAGAATAACTAAAATTTTTAAATAAATAAATTTGAACTCCTTTGGGGACAGCGTGGGAATATTGAGTACTGTAAATTTCAGTTTGAGTAGTTGTTGCGAAGGTGATATAGAAATTGTGAGTGAAGGTATAGTTTCGGTTTGAGTAGTTGGATAATCTTGTTGTGAAGGTAATGTAGGAATTGTAAGTGAAGGTTTAGTTCCAGTTGTGGTTGTATCGGTAGTTGCAAATGTTGTTGTTGATGATGGTGGCTTTAAATAAAGTAAAAGTGTTAATATTTATTATTTAGTTACAAACGATACTAAAAATGAAACAATAATAAAGAACATACCATAAACCAAGAATTATCGTAAGGTGGAAAAAGTTCTTCATCTTCAACAGTTTCTTCATTTTCACCCCAAGTAGAAACATCTTTTTTCTTATGATCATAGACATTTCCATCATCATCATCGATATCATCGTAACCATAATTTTGTCTCGTTAAATGACCTCCAGTATTTAATGTATTTCCGGTTAATATATTTATAGCATCACAATTCGGCGCCATAACACTTTAAATGAATCGAAGCAGATTTCCACCCCTACACTCTGTTTCCACATCATTGATACTCTTATTATCCTGCGATTTTATACAATTGTAATTGAATGGACAATATAAGTTATGCTATACGAAATTATTGAATACAATTCACTTTCCGATCCAGTTCACTTTAGCTATAATAAGACCGAGAGTGATTAAAAGAAAAATTACGGCAGTAAGAATCGTAACGACCAACGTCTATTTCATTGAAAGAAAATCAAGAATGCGAAGAAACTAAAGTTACTTAAGTGAAAAAGCTCGGTGAATCTAAAAAAAAATAAAACAAAACATAACATACTCCTTTTCTATGTAGCCTTTTTTAATAGCTGAGTATTTTCATTACCGCTATCTTTTTATTATAAAAAATAAATTAAGAAATAATTTTATATTAAATAATTATAATAAATTTGTCAATAAATATACCAGGATTATCTGATTTTCGTTTATCTTCAGGTACAGTTCGAGACAAGATTTCTTCTACTCCTTCAGTAGTGTATACTTCTTTAAAGTTATTACAATTTGATAAATGAGTGCGGCTTTTATTAGTTGTGTAACATCTAGGTATTAATGCTGCCACTTTGAACTCCATTTTTTGAACTACAGAAATTCTGCTTTTGCGTTTGATTTATTGTTAGAGTTATCAACCAAAGTAAAATATTCCTAGAATTTGTGTGGTTCTGTCATTTTTTTTAAAAAAAATTTTTGATGGTAAGAAGTTAAATCGATCCTAAAAATCGTAACAGATAATCTTAAACTCTATTTTGAATTTTTGATTGGTTGATTTATGAATGACTTAGGGTCATGTTATATGATCATCAGATGATTTTCACATTTAAAAATTTTTATATGCGATTGATTTAAATATACTGTATCCTAAAATATCCTTTAATATTATTACAAAAAATATCTTAGCTTTGTGGAAATTAATTAGTACTGCTACGCTAATACGCTAATTTCTACACGGATTTTGTTCCAAATATATATGAAAGCTGTTGAGCGACTTCGCCTAAAACACAAGTATTACTCCAACATCATAAAATAGAGATAAAAGTAGTTTCGGGTCTACTGAGAAACTTCACTTAATCTTCCAGAGGCTATTACTTTAATCAAGCTCGGTGAAAATTAAGTTTTAAACCTGCTGCCAATTGAAATCTCACTAAAAAAAAAAAAAATATTTCTATAATGAATGCTACAGTTAGTTTGATGAAAAATTGAAAAATAATAAAAAGTTGCTATTGAGAGACATTCAATAAAATATTTAGAAGTTTATAAATAGGTTTAAGTCTAAAATTTATCATAAACGAAAGATGAAAAAAAAAGGTGTAATACAAAAGTCTGGTGATTTACCAGTATGGTAAATGTGGTTAGCCTTACTTGCTTAGATTAAATTTCAATCACGTTTTCTGTGCAACCATATTAACTATATTAGCCATCTCAATCACAGTTTACCCACTTTCGAATTCCTTCGATGAAAAGTTTCTAAAGACCTTTTTTTTTTTAATTTTTTTAAGTCTCAAAGCCAATGAAAAATTCCAACGTCATCAAAAACCAATACTAAGGGCAGTGTTACGTCACATTTTTATTTCTATGAATTTATCATTTTTGGTTTATACTTTGCTCATATTTTTTTAAGCTAACTCGGGCAAAGAATATCAAAGAGCCATTACAATTAATTAATTTATAAAAAAGAAACAAGCAAACATTTATATATAAATATACATCACAAGAATATTTATTTTTGAGAATATGGCACAAGATACTTCGTCTATTAAAACCGCTAAAGCTCTCGATGATTATGTCTTATTGGGGTGTAGTGGATTGAGAGTTTCTCCATTATGTCTTGGTACTGAGATCATTTTTGTAAGCTAAATAAATATCATTGACAAAACATATATCGTTAACATATTCTATACATTGAAGACTTTTGGAGAACAATGGGTAAGTTATTTATATAATTTGATGATAAAAAAAATATTTCTGAATTTCTGAATATTAACACTTCAAAATAGGGAATCGGCGCTAATAAAGAAGAATCGAAAAAAGTTTTTGATCTTTATTACGAAAGAGGCGGAAATTTTTTTGGTAATTTTTCAAATATGCAATCACTTGATTTAATGTTATAGAAAATTTCCTATTTAATAATACGCAAATCTTTAGATACTGCCTGCAATTATAATGATGGTGAAGTAAGTAATAAAAAAAAAAATAAAAATTTTTTTTAGTCAACCAAATATTAATGTCCATTAATAAAATATTTAGGGCGAACGTTTCCTTGGAGATTATGTTTCCGATAAACGATCTGATGTTGTGATTGCAACAAAATATACGTGTATGAACCATGAATTAACTAAATAATATCGTTTCAAAATTTGAATTTTCAATAATTTTTAGATTTAATTCTTAGGTAATACAACTTCTATGCAAAAGGATGTGAGACTCAATCCGAATTTAGGTGAGCTAGTAGACTATTCATAATACAAAATTAAATATTTTTTAATGTTGATTGATAATAAATGTAACTTAACTGTTAAATACATAGGAGGAAATCATCGAAAAAGTCTTGTGGAGAATCTTAATGAGAGTTTGAAACGATTGAACATGAGCTATGTCGATATTTTATATGTTCATATTTATGAGTTTCGAACTCCAATCGAAGAAATTATGAGATCATTAGATGACGCCGTTCGAAGTGGAAAAGTAAATAAACTATTATTTTATAATGTTTGCTCGAAATAATTTTTCTAAATATCATTATTAAAAAATATATATATATATATAGGTATTATACGTTGCTGCAAGCAATTTTCCATCTTGGGCACTCGCTCGCGCTAATACATTTGCAGAATTACGTGGATGGAGGTACAATAATTTTGATTTGTAGATATTAAAGATGGGCTTCAAGTTAATACATTTTCATCAAACGTGTTTAGTTCTTTCATTGGACTTCAAACGCGGTATAGTTTATTGGATCGATCATTAGAATTTGATTTACAACCTGCTTGTGCTGAACTTGATGTATGTATTATAAAATTATACTCTATTTGAATTATGTACGGTTACTAAAGTTACTAAATCTATATATATTTAAAAACTTTTAGGTTGGAATTATTCCGTGGGGTGCCGTTGCCGAAGGGTAATTATTAATTATTGATGCTTTTTTTTTATATTATAATATACTCATAATATTAATTATTTTCATAATAGTTTTCTTACCGGAAAACATACGAGAGAATCAGCTGCTAACTTAAAATCGGAACATCGCAGTCATAAAGTAGCAGATCATTCAAAAGTCGAAAAAAATTGGAAGATTTTAGATGACGTAATTACTGTTTCAAAAGAGACTGGCAGAACTCCTGTTCAGGTGGTGTTTAATCTTAAAACTATAGTTTTTAATTGTTTTCAACAATTGAATATTAATTTTTTTTTTCTAATACATAGGTCGCTATGAACTGGGTTCAACAAAAACCTGGAATTACTTCTCCTTTAATTGGTGCTAGAACAGTTACTCAGCTCGAAGAAAATCTTAAATCACTTGAATTCAAGTGAGTATAATTGTTTGAAAGTTTTTTTTTTTAAAAAAAAAAAAATTGTTTACTAACGTAAATTAAAAAAAAAAATTCTAATATTATCAGATTGACGCCTGAACAAGTGAAAAGACTGGATGAAGCATCTAAACCAGCTGAAATTCCATTCCCTAATTCGTTTGTTAGCAATTATGATAGATTCATCGGAAAAAACATTGAAGTGCCTCGTAAATTTGAAGCTATCTCGACTTCATGTAACTTTGGAAGAATAAATCTTTAATTTATTTCACAAGGCTCAATTTTTGTTTTCTCTCGATTGTTTATAAATATATTTTTTCTTCAATAAAATAAAATATTCAGAACTTTTGACACGATCCTCTTGAAGAATTTACTTCTTTTGAAATGACGTTCCC